GGGGTTTTGCAAATTGTGTTATGTTCAGGTCTAAAAACTGGATATAATAGATATGGAAACTTTGTGAGAGGGTTTCTTTCCACGCACTGGCTCTCTAAGCCTAGGCCTAGACGAGGAGCATGCACTATGGCTTCTGAGACACTGTCAACAACATTTCTGATAGGCCTACACTTCCTCGATCGATTTATGTTTTTCTATAAATGTGAAATTCTAAGACTATTTACTTATTTAGTATTTAGTATTATTTACTTCCAATCACCAAAACAAACAGTATAATTTAAAGGTGTGCGCCATATTGGTGCTTGAACGGTGAGGCAAGGGGCCATGGCTCCTAATTCTAATATTTGCACTGGTTCTGATTTTCAACCTAAAACCCCCCCACCACCACCCTTCTCCCTATCAATATCATTGATTTCCTAAATGCCTATCAGTATTACCCCACCCCCTTTAGAGATCAAATGAAACGCCACCATTGTTTATGTTATTTCATTATTAACATTTGCAGAAAAATATGGAAGGGCAATGTAGACTGTGGGTCTAGACTATAATGTGAACACTAAGTCTTTTCACTTGTGTAAATTTTGGTTTCTCTTCCAGAATCACTTTGACGACAGTCAAAGAGAAACAGATCGCCAGGACAACAGCCGACAGCTGAAGCAAAATGGTTTCAAAGCTGAAATGATGATTATTGAGTGGTGTGATATAACTTTCATGCCTTCATGACATAAAATAAATTGTGCTGATTGAAACTGAATAATGAGCCTTTTTCTGTTCAGGCCCATAAGTAAAAGAGACAGGGGTGGGGAGTGGTGTGGGGCGGCACCTCCCTTGAATTATTATCAAAAACAATATGAATTATATTATACATTATATTACTTATCAATATGTTGCATAAACTATAACTAGTGATTAGCCTATTGTTCCATATAGCTGTAAAATATACAGCTAGGCCCTAGCTATTTTAATATGGAAGATTACAGGTTTAATATTTCGGTGGTTAATAATTGGAAAGTGCTCAAATTCAAGATTTATCTTCTTTTTGTGTTTTTGTATAGACATACCAAATTTTATCAAAATCGGATAAAAACTGTAAATTCTAGAGCGTTTACGAGGGATAACGTCGGCCATCTTGTAGCTAAGAGAGGGTAACAAGATGGCGCCTTGTGACGTAGTTGGCCAGACTCTCTCTATATACGGCTCTGATTTAACTCGATGGACGACCACTTTATCAGTAAAAAGATTTTTTACTTTTACAACCACGTCATAACAATGTTAAATGCACAACTACACTTTTTCTTTCGACATCTATAGATCTAGAAAAAAAGATTTGCAGAAACAAATGATAGAAGCATAAAATTTTCTCCTGTTAGTTGCAATAATAATGTACACACAAATTGGATTTCTTTTGTTTAACTGGTGGTCCAAGGCTTCTTAGCATAGGCATTTGTTATATAGTTTTTCACAAAAAATAAACACTTATTAAAATTCTATATATAAATTTTATTGCACATCATTGTAAACACAGATCATAAAGAAAAAATTGCACTGAGATACAAATTCAGCATAACTGATAACACAAATTTTAAAGAATACATATTATAACATTGCAGGAATGGTAAGAAAGAAATAAAAGAAATAAAAAAAATGGACTTAAGACTAGTGTAAAAAAACTATTGGATGAAAAAAAACTTTGGGAAAAAAAATAATAGATCAAATGAAAAATATTTCACACATATATGAACAAGCCATAACAATGTAAGGTTAGACAAATTTTGGATAGTCATATACATGTATTGGATTAAGGAAAGTGTGCCAACCACCATATGGCATACATGTGGGCAAAGTTACCTAACCCTGATCAATCAGTTTTAACATGTGATACATCATCTAACTTCACATATCTTGATGCAATTATTACACAGGCTATTGTGCCAATTACAAAACAAAACGCAAAGATGTAAAAAGATTCTTCATCAAAAAGGTCTGTAAAAGATGGAACATAATTTGTTAATCTTTTGACTATATGTTTGTGCACACTATCTTTAGGAAGCATATTTAAAGGTGGCAGATGCTCTTCTATGACAATGAAAACTTCACCCTTAGATGTTTGGAAACTGATGCAAAATTGGAATTCGTAAATTTCACTCCAGCAAACAAGAATTTCAGAACCCTTTTCAACTATTGACTATGGATTTCCTTATCATTCTAATCACATCTTCTGATTTTCACAACCTGGACCATTTCAGTTTCAGGTACAACATTTATGCAGTCTCTGAGTCCAATTTCAAGAGTTCAACTTGCCTAAAAAAAATTAAAAAAAGAGATTTGCATTTGTTATAGTCAATCTGTTACTATAGAAATATTATGTCCTTTACAGCTGATATTCTTCAACAGAGGCTACAATATCGAAAAAGACAAATTTTCAAAAACATTATCAACAAAATACAAAAGTTTGTGCATTCTTATAACAGTTTGAATGCATACGTGAGGAAATTGAAATGTTATGGCAAACATAAAACCATGGGTCCAAACACTCAAGGTCAATAACTTTCTGATAGAGAGAGACTATATTAATTAATAACAGCTCGCTACAACTTACAACATAACGAAGATCATAAATATCACTCCGAAATTCCACGTTTAAATGCAAATAATGGGAAATTGAGAATCTATTGAAAGAGTTCAAAGATTGCTTGCCTTCAAAATATCAAAAATGGTCTTGGAAACTAAATTTCAGTTCTTCTGCTTGGTTGGGGGAAACACATCAACCCAACTCCATCAACCTCTTCAACTCTTCTATTGGAAGGTAAGTTTAGTGAGTAGCAGGTGCCCGGAAGTTGAATTCGCCGACAGAACCTACTTGAAGTTTTTCAATTAATACCATTTTGAATCAGGTTTAATACACGTATTGCCATGTTGGTAAGTTGCTGGATAAATTCAGTCCTATTACCACAGAATCTGAACCAAGAAGTCAAGAAATCATTTTTGTTTTCTTGCCGATAAACATAACCGATTATTTGAGAAAGCCGCTCAAAAAATCAAATAGTCTCACTCAAGCAGACCTTTAATGGCTATGAATTTGTTTTGGTAAAAAGTTGATTTATAACGCATATGGAATATCAAAGGCTAGAACGGTTTTTTCTACAGCACACGTAAGTATGGGCGTACATTGTGGTTGCCCCTGTCGGCCGGTCCGTCCGTTCACATTTACCTTGTGCTCACTCTACAGGCTACAATTCTCTGTAGATTCTTTTGATCTTTTGTATGTGTGTCAATATCATTATGAAGTTGTGCACTATTGAATTTGGTTCACATTTACCTTGTGCTCTCTCTGCAGGCTACAATTCTATGTAGATTCTTTTGATCTTTTGTATGTGTGTCAATATCATTATGAAGTTGTGCACTATTGAATTTGGTGATGATTTTCTGTAGAGATATCGCATAAAACTCTGATGTAGCGTTCGTTTTTTTTTCTTCACTTTTTTGCTCGCACTCACTATATAGACTGCAATTCTCTATTGATTCTTTTGATTTTTTGTATGTGTTAATATCATTATGAAGATGTGCACTATTGAATTTGGTGATGATCCCATGATTTCCTTTAGAGATATTGCTTAAAACTCTGATATCGCGCTCGTTTTTTTTTTTTTCTTCACTTTTTTGGCTCGTGCTCACTCTACAGACTACAATTCTCTATTGATTCTTTTGATTTTTTGTATGTGTTAATATCATTATGAAGATGTGCACTATTGAATTTGGTGATGATCCCATGATTTCCTTTAGAGATATTGCTTAAAACTCTGATATCGCGCTCGTTTTTTTTTTTTCTTCACTTTTTTGGCTCGTGCTCACTCTACAGACTACAATTCTCTATTGATTCTATTGATCTTTTGTATGTGTGTCAATATCATTATGGAGTTGTGCACTATTGAATTTGGTGAGGATCTGATGATTTTCTTTAGAGATATCGCTTAAAACTTTGATATCGCTTTTTTTTTTTTTACTTCACTTTTTTGGCTCATGCTCACTCTACAGGCTACGATATAGAGTTTGTTTTACAGTTCACATTTAGCTCTTTATCAAGCTGCTGGTGGGCGTATTCACTTGCGAGACTTGCCACAAGCCTATGTTTTTGTTCTTGATCATGAAATACATAATAGTTCATGCTCACACGTAGAGGAAGATGCCCCTTAGCTTTCGTGAAAATTTCAATAGTTAGGTAAGTATTCTAAATCTTGCGGCCCCCATTTTAACTGTTCTGGAAAATAGCGACTACCCAATTATGAGCATGTTATCTTCAGATATCTATGATTATTCGAACTCAATTTTGATTGAACCAATTAGCGCTAACTACACATATTTCTGACTGGAAGACGAGGCAGAAAATAATGGTTTTAGATATTTAGTAATTTATTGTTAAAAATAGTTGAGAGCTTACTGCTGTCACATTTGTTATATGACTGTTTAATATTAGATTTCTTCTGCAATTGAATGATTGGCAACTCATGTCATGCGATGATCTTTTCATTGGGTGACTTTCTCATCAACCTACAGGCAATCTTAGTATGTTGAATTTGATTTCTATTCACATAAAAATGATTGACGCATTATGATTATTTAAACATTGTGGTTGGACAGTAACTTTGCTCGTTTTATGTCTTTCTAGGATAAAAATTATCAGCCACGTCAGTTACATCATATGACAGTATTTGCTCAGTGTTTTTCACCGTGTGGGAAATACTTGGCTGTAGCTAATAACTATGGCCATATTGCAATTTTTAGGTAAGTAAAAGCCGAAAGTTGATTAAAGCAATTTCAATTGAAACATGCTATTTTGATTATGTGATGTCAATGACTGGTATTGAAGAGGAATGACTTCATTTTTAATACAGAAAGTATGGTATTTAGGGGTACATTCAACTTTATTTTATATGTGAACTTGACTATGAAATGTAGGTCTTACTGATAGTTTTCAACATTTCTGGCTGATTTAATTTCAGCATAGTCTCAGCTTTATCACCAGATGCAGGAGAATCATCTAGATTACCAATCTTATGTTTTAAAGGTAAATTCAGTAAAAAAATTGTTTATGTAATCACTTATTGTCAACACCCCAGAAGCCTAGTTGCCAGTATCTGCTCTATGAATTAATTTAGAATCATCTTCTAAATTGTGTTATGAACTACAGAAATGTGTCGTGTTATTGGTCTGGAAAGCAAGCACTTATTCTTTCTGTGAACCCTTGACTTCTCCAATCATTTCCAGCTCAAATGATACTTAAAAGGCCTTTGGACTCATTTCACATGAAACTCTTTTATTTTCTCTCTATGTGGACTTTATAAGGATGGCTACTCATAGAAACTCATATTATAGATAGATCTCTTTCACTATGTACTTCTTTTAAAAGATATAAAAACCTAAGTAATTTACTTGTCCATGGTAAATTGGTTCCCATTCCATTAGCACTCTAAAACAATCTCTTTATGTATTAAGAATTTTATTATTTGGATGCATTGTATTATTTCAGTCTTTTCAAAATTGATATTGTTGAAATTTCTCTTTGCACACAGCGAAGTATATTTTATTGTATTTTCAATTTTTATTACTCAAATTCTTTAACATTATTAAAATATGTATGTTCTCTTCTTGTGACCTCGGCCAGTTCTTCACCTAATAAATATTTTATTAGCATTTATTTCTATATACAGGTTGTAAAGAAGGAGCTATTTATTGTCTGACATCAACAGAAACATTTCTAATCAGTGCTGGCGAAGGAGATATAGTAGCATGGAAATGGGCTGACATTCACAATAAAGCACCAAAAGTTGTGTGGTCTTTAGTTCTACCTAAGAAAGGTGTTTTTACCAATCCGGAAATAAATTGTTTAGTTGTAGATAAAAAGGTTTGTATTTTATGTAATATACTGATGAAATGTGTTCATTTCATTTCAGGCTGACATTTCTTTGTGAAACAAGATTTTTGACCAATTTGCTTATTATCTGAAAATTTTAACATTGAGAAGTAAATTTTACAAGACCAGTAAAAAGTAGAAGACTGAAATCATAGCCAAACATTCCTGAAAAAATAGACTGGATTTACTTCATCTCTTTTAACTGATAAGAATAAATGTCATTAATTGCAACAGAATAAAATTCAAGTCATTGGTTTTTTTTTTAAATTTAAACTACAGGATCAAGGATCACGATTATTTGCTGGAGGTGGTGATAATGATGTACATATTTGGGATGTAGAAACTGGACAGTTACAGGTAGGCCAACTGATTATTTGGGTTTTTATTTAGTCCAAAAAATGATAAACCATAAGTCAAAGTTGAGGAACCAATTTACTATCTTTATTGTTGAAAGCTTTTCGTGAAAAAGTATTGAAACTATTTTAATAAATCTGCAAGTGAGCGTTGGGTTTCATCAACAAGGATTACTCCTGTGTCCTGCTTTTCATTTCTATTAGAAAAAAGGTCAAAACCTGTAGATTTGTGTTCAACTCTAGAAAAAGTCACTATAATATAGATATTTATTTTGTTTTGTAGAACACATTACAAGGCCATGAGGATTATATTCACAGTCTATGTTTAAAGAATAATGGAAGAGAATGTATATCTGTTTCGGAAGATGGAACTGTCAAAATATGGGGTAGATATAAAATAATACTTATTGATCATGATGCAGGCACTACATATATTTATTACTGTATTTATATAAAAGCCAAGTTACTGTCTTCAATTTTAAAAAAGTGAATTTGAATACTAATACTAACGGTACTATTTTGAAGATGATATTCAAATACTCATACTTAGATTCCACAAAAAATAAATGTTTGATGACGTCACTAATTGCGAAATTAGTATTAATACATAAGGAACCACAGACATCTGATTGAAAATTGGAATGATGCAAATTGATGATATCAGTGTCTCTGATTTTAGAAAACTTCTTTACAATACCTTTAAAGTTTCATCTTAGAATATCTTCATTTTTTTCATATAAAAATTTTGACATAAATATTTTAGATTCCAGAAGTTGTCATGAACCAATTCATACATTAGAACCTTATAAATCTCAGGTTAGTTTTTCTGTGGATTTCTGAACTTCAGAGTGTACATTGATTGTAACTGACTGTAAGTGTTGAGAATATGTTCATCTGATTACAGTTGCAATCTAAATGTTAAAGGAATAGAACGTTTTAGAATGAACATTGAATTTTTATTTCGCTCAAACTTGGCCAATAACAGTTTATGTGCATCAGTGGACTTACCTGGTGTCACAACTAAATATCAAAATCCCGCATAATCTAATAAATCCACAAAATTGAGTAATAGATTATGAAAATGCTGAACACATAGAGAAAGTGAATTTCAAATCATAAGTCTTGGAAATCTGTTGTAATTATAAGGGGATGTAACTCACACACGGGTTTTCTGTGTCCTTGACCTCTACTTTTGAATGGAAGAATTTTTGAAGAATGTATGAAATATGAATTATTGGAAGACTGAGAAAAAGCACTTCATATAATTTACAATGAATACTCCACCACTGACACGAATATTAATAATTGGCAAAGGTCGTTTGTTTACATCTGAAGATGATTACCATTTTGCACTTGCACATTGATGGACTTTTCCTTTTTCCTGTTTTAGCGTTTATTACCCAGACTCTTTTTCATTGGATTGCTTGCTCACTTGTTTTTTTAAATCTGAATATTATTTTATTGTCGCCTTTTCTTAATTAATAAAGTATGGGATGCAAACTTAGTTACGCAATGGTCACTATTAAACACAAATATTAGCCATAGGACAAGTGTATTCTTAGACGTTCATGAACTTTCAAAACCAAGTTAAGTTATTTGAAAAGATTGCTTTTATAGATCCTACTTTTCTGCTCCTCGAAAGAAGATCTGAGAAGCTATGAGGCTTACAACAATTGAAGATAACAAAAAATACCAGTTACTCATTTGTCAATAAAATTGCAACACCTGCTTTGAAAATAGGAACATCCATTGCTCAGTGAGTTGGGCACTTGCTTGCTAAACTGAAGGTCCAGGGTTCAATCCCGACACATAGGCTGAGATAATACCTTCGGAATTTTCAATGTGGTTTCCCCTGGTGGTGATGCGGGTGGGAGGGACATTGAAAAAGCATCAAGTCATTCGAGACTGTTAAATATCTTAACTGTGTTTTTGTAGGAATGTAATCGACCTGAGTTTGGTAAATGGGTTGGTTGTGTAGATTTAGATCAAAGTGAAGATTGGCTGGTAGGTTTAATTTTAAAAGGCGTGGTTCATATTTTCACTAGTCAATCATACCTTGGTCTCAGAAACAGGAATTGTAAAAATAGTTATAAAGAAGACTCATGTTTCAATCATCGAGTCCAAGAGACTTTTTTGACAAGACCTACAACTTTTTGATATCCCAATTTTTAGTAGATAGAAGATAAGCTTGTGAACGAAATAAATAAAACGGAAATTTCTTTTTATATTTATATATTTAAAGGAATTATGAAATTTTCGTACAATTTTTGTATTTTTGGAGACCAGTTAAATATATTCAAAGTCCAAATCAACCCCAGAAAATGGCGACTTGGAAGTTTTTTAGCGATCACCTTTTTTGTGCAAACAGAATCCCCTAAGTGTAGGATGCCCAATAGACATGCAAAGGCTAAAAATCATTTGAATCTGTTTTGGGATCTAAGATTAGAATCTATATTGTAGATCTGTGGTGGCGGTCCCAGGCTGTCAACATGGCACATGAGATCTCTATCTCCCACTGCTATATTCGATACTCCAGCTTCCTGTCAAAACTTTGTCATGTATCATGAAGAAACTGTAAGTTACTGTCATGTTTTAATCAATCTTTTTGCTTATATTTTTACCATGTGAACCAGTTTCTTACTATGCCATTACTATGTGATGCCAGCAGGTTAGCACAACACACTCTTGAGTGTTAAGTCTCCACCCGAGTTATAATAAACTTGGCACCAAACCAAAATGACCCCAAGATAAATGGCATCAAAGGTCAAAATTAATCAAAATGGCCCCATTTATAAAAATTATTATGGTTAGATAATTTTAGGCCATTTTGGTTAGGTGCCAAGTTGACTATTACCACTTCACATCATGGCAAAGTGTAGGATAAAAGGGCTTAATCCTGATAATTATGATACTATTATTTATATAAGTTATATCTGGTGGTAGTAAACTGTTAGCTATTTAATAATTATGATACTATAATTTATGTAAGTTATATCTGGTGGTAGTAAACTGTTAGTTATTTAATAATTATGATACTATAATTTATATAAGTTATATCTGGTGGTAGTAAACTCTTAGTTATTTAATAATTATGATACTATTATTTATATAGGTTATATCTGGTGGTAGTAGACTGTTAGTTATTTAATAATTATGATACTATAATTTATATAAGTTATATCTGGTGGTAGTAAACTCTTAGTTATTTAATAATTATGATACTATTATTTATATAGGTTATATCTGGTGGTAGTAAACTCTTAGTTATTTAATAATTATGATACTATTATTTATATAAGTTATATCTGGTGGCAGTAAACTGTTAGTTATTTAATAATTATGATACTATTATTTATATAGGTTATATCTGGTGGTAGTAAACTGTTAGTTATTTAATAATTATGATACTATTATTTATATAGGTTATATCTGGTGGTAGTAAACTGTTAGTTATTTAATAATTATGATACTATTATTTATATAGGTTATATCTGGTGGTAGTAGACTGTTAGTTATTTAATAATTATGATACTATAATTTATATAAGTTATATCTGGTGGCAGTAAACTCTTAGTTATTTAATAATTATGATACTATTATTTATATAAGTTATATCTGGTGGTAGTAAACTCTTAGTTATTTAATAATTATGATACTATTATTTATGTAAGTTATATCTGGTGGTAGTAAACTCTTAGTTATTTAATAATTATGATACTATTATTTATATAGGTTATATCTGGTGGTAGTAGACTGTTAGTTATTTAATAATTATGATACTATTATTTATATAGGTTATATCTGGTGGTAGTAAACCATTAGTTAATCATTGGTTTGTTAATGGAGATATTAAATCACAAGTTCCCTGTACACCAACATCAACATATAATATATCAATAAATACAGTCTCAGATTCTACACGGGTAAGTTTTCACATGGTCATCAATCAAAATAAAACATACTACATCTGTTGCATTCAGTTTGTTATTGTTTATCATGAGGGATATGCCTATTGAAAAAAACTGCTATATGAAGACACATTGGTGATCTACTGAAATACTGTTAAAAGTGCAATATGTATGCATTTGATAGGAATTTAATTCTGTGGATGACTCTTGCTCCCCATGATCTGACAACATTTGAAGTCAAATATGTTCATATTTTATCAGATAATGAGCCATTGGTAAGATAGGCACAGACAATTAGACAATATAAAGTAAATGGCGATGCACAACAATATTGTCAAGAGGCTTATTAGGTCAATATTGTTACATAATCTATTATGATTTAATGCTTGACTTAATTTCTATTTCAGGTTCTATCAGTGGCAGGAAATAGTTATAAAATAGATGTCTGTACTAACTTTGGCTATAAAGCCTTCTCACTTAAATTGATTCCAAATTGTTAGATATGAAGCTATACTGTAGGCCTACTGACTGTTTGTGCGAATGGTATAATAACACAGTTAAAACTGTTATCGAAAACCACATTTGGATAATGATTGATGTGCTCGTGGCTTTGTTTATTAAAAACGATTTCGGTATAAATGAATGGATGTGAAATCTGTTTGATATGAATAAATTTGATACCTGAACATGTATTGCAATTTTCTTTCGATAGGGCATCTTCACATGTCAATCTATTAGAACCTTGTTTAATACAAACTTTGTAATAACTTGACATTGTGAAGATGTCAAAAGGGGTTTCAATTATTTACCAAAGTATACTCTCATGAAAAAAAAAAAAAAAACATTTTAGCTCACACTTTAGTATCCAAATGGAATAATACACAATATTTTCTTTGAATGTATAGGAATACAGTCCTCTAAATATTTGCTCTACCAGCTGATACTTACTTTCCAAATTAAAATCAAACATTTTGTTATCTTATATTAAAATGAAATAAGCCAACCATTGAACCATTGATCGACTACACTGCCTGTTTTCATCAAACCATTTCATTTCTACAATTCATACCCTTTATTCATAAGAAAAGTTTTGTCTTAGATAATTTTATATTGTTCTTGCCCATACATTTCACGTGGAATTTTGAATAAATTTTACTTAAACCTTACTGAATGGGAGAAATTAGTTGTTGAATTATCTGATAAAAGAAAACACAATTGCCTCCCTTGTGATATTTACCTTCCCACAATGCCTGTTGCCACCGCCGCCATTGCGTATTTGATGAAAGGTGCGAGCAGACCCTGACTGTTAAAAGTGTAGATTTAGACCATTATAAAATCTCAAACGCTTCGGTTGGAGCTATGCCCTTATAGTTTTATATACATACATGACGTTTGGATAAGTTTTTATTTTATTTGTGTGCCTTTTTGAAACAAATTGAGAAAAAACATGAGTTCAGACGTTCGCTCATCAGCTGCTGCGTCAACAACAAGCGCAGGTAAAAAGAAACAAGGTGGATTTTTATCTCGGCAGGCTAAGTCAAAACAGACGGATCCCAAAGATATAGTGTACGAAGCAGATTTGCTGAGGAAAGATTTTGTCACACCTGAAGATGTTCTCAGATTAAATTCTGTTACTGAAAGTAAGTATGTTTAGCTCTTCTCAGTTATAGTAGGGAGACGAATCAATGAATGGATTACTCAATAACAGAATGAATCATAAGTGTCATGATCCTTTTCTAAGGCTTTATTATGAATGGATGAATATTGTGTATAGGCTAGAGTTTCTCATTGATATTATTTCCTGGGTGACTATTAATAAGCTTATATTTATAATCTGAGGACTGGGGTGGTTTGCCTCATCATAGCATAGCTTATTTTAAGGGGCTTTTTAGAATATTCATATTAAAAAATAATGTAATGCATCATATTATGATCATAGCCTATAATAAATTTAAGCAAAGGCCAAGGGTTTGGTTGTATCATGTATTATAGGCCTACTAGCAGCCTACTTATCACCAAACCAGAATGGTTCAAACTCAAAATGATCTCTACATGAGCCACCATTGTTTTTGATATATTATTTTTGTAATAATTTGTTACATTTATAATTTATAAAATTTACAACTAAATAACTATGGTGGTTACTTACAAGGACAATTTCAATGTGACATCGTCACACAATTGTTATTCCATTTTCTTTACAAGCTGATCATCGATCATTCCATTGTCATAATCATGCCAGTAGTGTCAGTTATAAAATTGAACTCATTTATGGTTGTTCAAGTTGGTTTTGACTTGTACCAGTGCTACAGATAAGATATAAGCTGAATAACACATCTTCAAAGCTTATGTACTTGGACTTTTAGTACCGGTACTGGAACTTTGAAACCAAGAAAAATTGTTACTAATGGATACATGACTGCATTACTGTAAACTGAAATTAATTATTAATAGGTCACTATTCCACTAGAGATCAAATTATTATAGGCCTGTGATGAACTTTGAAATGTTGAAGGACTTTCTTGATGCAGGTGTTTTGCCTTGATTCCTTGATAACTCTGGACTAATGAACGTAAAATTCTTAAACCATCCATATTTTAAATCAACTGTTATTCTCTTTGAATTTTAAAGCAGGTTTTTCCTTAAAGACAAGATTGCACCTGGTCTTGGTATAAATTGTCATTATCTAACCTAGCGTGACTCCATTACTTAATATCAATAATGAATGATAATGACAGTATGAATCTGCTGTAATTTCTGATCTCTTGGCAAGGCAATCAATCTCGCTCGTTTTATTTCCACAGCTTTTTATTTCATAATAGATATCTTCTATCATTTCTTATGTTTATTATGTAAAGGATGATAGTTCAGAACTTTATAACAAGCTGTGGGATGGTATTCTGTCTAAAAAGTTACTACACTACGCTGCAGGTTTTTTACGCTACTGGTAGTCTGATGATTACAACAAAATTTTGTTGGAGAACTGTCTAAAAAAGACAGTTGTCTGCAATAAATGATGAGTCAACTCATTTGCAAATATAATATATGATCAGAAAGCATATTCATATACAAGAACTAATTTTATTACAATGAATTATAATCATGAAGAGACAATAACAATGGATTTCTTTTATGTGACAACATTTTGAATTTACATAGAAAATAAATGTTACGTGAGACATTACCATAAGATTTTTCAAAGTGAAAATACATCTATAGCTATTAAATTAGCCAAATTAATTGATTACGGTACCATTACTTTAGATGTTCCAAAATCAAGAACACAAAGAGGGGATCCAAATTATAGATCTGAGACCAGCTCTGGATCCAGACTGGCAGAATGTAATGAAATTGTGTAAAGATATTACTACTCAGTGCTCATCAATTCTTAGTTCTGTTGTTGCTAGAGGTCATATGAAATTATTCACATTGTAATAAAATGTTGACAATATTAATCTGAATAATTAATGAAACTATTTTATATCGTAGAATATCTATGTCCACCTGAAGCTAATGTTTATGGTATAGATTTTACCCGGTTTAAACTACGTGATTTGGATAGCAACACAGTTTTATTTGAAGTCGCCAAACCTCCTCCCTCAGGTATACATTTTTATTACTCACTATGGGCGTTATTTTCAATATTCAGTTTTATATTTAAGATAATTGACATGCAGGTTGTGTTAAAAAAAAAACTTGTTAGACAAAAATCAATTTAACTTTTCATCACATTTATGGCCACACATAATCACATTAAACTTTCTATATGGAAATAGAAAAGCACATGATAATTTAGTCTGAAACATCTGCCACTAGTCAGCCTCTAATAAATAAATTGACGGTTATCGGCTAGTGTAGAGGCAGAAAAACTAAAGCCTGTTTGATGGGGATTTTCCACCTACAACATATTATTAAATTACCTCTCCGGTGACTCTACATTCGTGTTGGCCATCACCATTTTGGTAGTATCATGTGACTCTGTGAACCTTGTACTTTAGACAACTTGTGCAGTTTTATATAAGCTTAGCCGACGAGAAATTAGTTTTGTTAAAAAAAACTTTGATAGGATCACAAACGTGACATAAATGGTGTAAGGGGGTGTTGTCAGCATCCCATAAAACAGGGCATAATTTTTCTGTCATAGCTATAAGAGGCTGGTATAGAGGCAGATGTTTCGGTCTTATGATAATTTTGACCTGTAAACAAAAGAACAACCTGTTGTAACAAATAATGTTTATGAAATTATGTGTGTATTATGGATTACACAATAAACCCAGGCATGGACAATAATGATCCAATAAGGTGATAGTTATATACATGATTATCTGAAAGACAAATAGGATTATTGATTTCTTTGTTATCTTTATAATACAAGTAACAGTTTGTAGATTACAATAATAGTTCATTAACAGATTGAAGCTGGCACTATTATTATATTATTTGTTAAATCTTATGAAGTAATGTTATACTATGAAGTCTTTTAAAATGGTGTTTGGAGCAAAATGAACCCTTGATATGGTAAATTTGTCTCTAATAAATCCTAAGCAAAAATTTCTGTGTGCTAAAAAATTTGTAAATAATTAAGTTATAATGATTACGATATTGTATAAAAGAATATTAATGAAATGATTATCTGTTTTGAAGATGATGATGATGACAATGATCAATATATAGATGATGCTGATCCTAATGCAGGAAGATTCGTACGATATCAATTTACATCTCAATTTCTTAAACTAAAGACTGTGGGAGCTACGTAAGTATTTTGTTTATTTTTGTAAGTTCAGTTGGATTATAGATATTGATGTTCATTGTTGGTTAAAGAAATAGAATTTTCCTCATTGCTCACTGCTGTTGTCATTAACACAATCTGTGGCAAATGCAAAGCTTTGTTCATTCTTATGAATTGAAATATCAATTGCAAAGTCTTACTAGGTCAGAGAGTAGTATAGGATATGAATTTTGAAGCTGGACTTGAAGATAGAGTTTGTAAATTAACAACAACAAAAGATCCAATACCAGAAATAGAAATTTTATGGCTAGATTTCCAGTAACATTACAAAAGCATGGTTTGTATCATTTGTTTGTTTTGTATTTCAGTGTTGAATTTATAGTTGGTGACAAGCCAGTGAATAAATTTCGAATGGTGGAAAAACATTATTTTAGAGAAAGAATGCTCAAATGTTTTGATTTTGAATTTGGTTTTTGTATCCCACATAGTCGTAATACTGTAGAACATATTTATGAATTCCCTACTCTGTCAGCAGAAGAAAGTAAGTTAAATTCTTTATAAAAGATTTAAATGGCACATTTTTACAGCATTGTCTGAGCCATTGATGAAGCCATCTAAATGATGATGACAACATTATAAATTATTGCAAAACATATTACAAGAATACTAAAGAATCCCTTACCGCAGACTAACATAAGAATAGGCTATTGATGGGAAATGGCCACAATTTATTTTTTGTGTGCAAAAGGTTAAAGCTTTAGAAGTCCGGATTTTCGGATTTTACTCTCCACAGACATTTTTTTTATCCCTATATTTAAGTTATGGGGCCTCTTCAAAAGTCCAAAGTCCAAATTTTTTGATGATGATACCATCTTAACTTGTCATCTACCTACCTTCATTATCAGATGAGCCATGAGAATAGTCTTTCATACCAATTTATGTTTTGTCCTTTTCAGTTAAAGATATGATTGATCACCCGTATGAAACAAGATCAGACAGTTTTTACTTTGTGGATGATAAATTAATCATGCATAACAAGGCTGATTACGCTTATAATGGTGGTACAATGTGATCTATTGGGTAGGGCATGTCAATCTAATGGGTTGAAGACCAGTCTATTTGTCATTTCAATGTAAATTGACACCAACTCCTACCTATATCATATTACTAATTGATAATTAGTAATTCACTTACGATATTTTTCGTCAATTTTATTTTGATTTATTATGGGACTCTATGTAGTCAAATTTTCTTGATTTTGAACTGACTGCCATTTTTCGTTTAATTTGACACAAAACTTTATAGAAAATCGAAAAAAATTCTCTGACCCAGTGACCAAAAGATTCCAAATAGGTCATGGTTGCTCTTATGTTTAATGACAGTGTTTTTCTATATAGAAAGATCTGACAATGTATGTGGGACTTTGATCAAATTTGGCAGAAAGTAAGAAAATATAAAAATTTTCTACCACTAATTTAAATGCATTCCAAAAGAATTTTTTTCTTAAGAAATCCATCTATTTATTTTATGGGATGTTTATATTAAGTTTTTTTTTTATTCTATGTTGTACCACTAATTTATTTCCAATAATTCCAGGATTTATTTATTTTCATTAACTTTATTTTATCTAAATGTTATTTTGTGTTTTTAAATTCTTTAACATCTAATCAAAGTATTCCACTTATATTTAAACTCCAAACTTTTTTTTCTATTTTCTTCTTTTGTGATGCCTGAAAGAAGAGCGCCAAATTAAAATCAAAACTGTTGCAAAATTTAATTCATTCTTCATTATTGAAAGATGTGAACAAAAACATTTAGACTAGAGTATGGAAATTTTCAGCTTGATAACTTAGTATCAAAATTTAGATTTTTTTGTTGGAATATATATTAAGATTTTATTCTTAGAACCATCAACATCAGGAACTAAAACAATCTATGACAGCCATGCTGTTATTGAAATTTTTTTGCTCATAAGAAAATTTGTAATTCTTGTATATGATTATTTTCACAAAATCTGATTAGTTGATTTAATACTGACTGCACAAGTTTGACCAATCAGAGATCTTAGTGTTCTATATTTTTTAATTACTTTCAATGTGTCATGTTTCTGACAACAGGACTGTAGATTTGAATAAAGGTTCTAGTTAAGGGGACTCTACCACTTAAAATGGATATGAAATTTGAAGTCTCAAACTTGGTAAATAAGTGTATATATTCATCAGCTGGACTTACAGGTACCATGACTAAAGAATAGAATCTCTATATGAAACTAAATAATCATTGAATAATGAATTATTACTTAGTTTTATGGATTTATTGTATTACTAGTTAAAAGGGATTCTGTCCACTGATGAACAAAGACTCATTTTGGCCAAGTTAAAAAAAATTCATTTTTTTTGGTTATCTTAAAGGGTAGTATACCTTTCAATGATATTGATAACGACTTCTCAGATATATGAAGAACCTAACTGACTATTGTTTAGTTTGAAAATTCCAGTCCTATTGATGTGATCTGATTCTATTTTGAAAAAAAAGTTTTAGCAATTTATAATTGACATTTCAATAATTTCAACTGATCAAAATAATAGCATGTAGAAAGTTGTAAATAATTGCTATATTTATATAATTATATTGTACATAAGTAGTGTTAAAACTTTTCTTTTCCATTTCAAACATTGACTCTGATAGCCTCATAATCCCCTCCTGACCTGTTATAAGTCAGACATACCATTAAATTGTTGCTGTAGAAGCAAACTATCTCTATCACTTACTAGAATGAAATTTTGACAAGAGATGCTGTCATCAAATTATATCATTTGTAGCCACAAGTTATCTGTAACTCTTACTAGAAAGATATTTTGGACTCTTTCACTCTTGACAAAATTGATCTTAAATTGATGAAACGAGCTCACTCTAAATTGAGTAAAATGAGAAATAATTTTGCTGTGTATGTTATATTGTGTATGTTTGTAGTGCAATGTTATATAAGTGTATTTTAGATGATATATTTATGAATTATCACATTCTGTACACATTCCAGTCTATAAAGTGAACACAATTCCAAACGAAACTTGCTCTTTACAGTGGTTTCTTGTTAGATTTTGTGAAAAGATTCCATCATGGATATTTTTCAAAAATTTGACTTGTTTTCCTTTATTTTGAATGATTATATAGATCACTAAATTTGCAGTATAAAGACACCCAAACAAAAATCCTTCATAATTTAAAAACTAATATTTTGATATCCTGTTGCTTTGCTCAAATATTGTTTATTTTGATAGACACGTAGATGCAAAAATATTTATTTTTTATTTGCACTATGTATTGTTTGTAATGTATAATATATATGATCACCCGTCCATGCCTTACATAATATATCAACATTTTCATAAGCCCACTGTTTCATTTGGTTCACCCTACTTCAGCAACATTTTACAGTAAGCAAGGAGTTAAATTCCAAGCTTGTAACTATATTCTGATTTTTTCTTTTATTTGTGTTGCTCTAAATATAAAATGATTTTTGAAAATTCTTAAACACGTTTTGGAGTGTTGATTTATTTCACTATTTTCTCTTCACATCCTATGAATCTAAACCTTGTCTCGGCTAAGAATTTATTATTATTTTGGGATAAATGCACTCTAATGAATCTACAAGCTTGTTATCAGAGCTTGGTGTAAACTTTGTCCGGTAGATATTTTTATGTGCTGAATATTCTCATTCTGTCCTTAAAATGTTTGTTCTGAGAACAAGTTCACTAAAATAGGTCATGTAAGAACAATGCCTCTGTAATATTTGCTTATGTGGACCTAATTTTTCATTGTACTGGTAAAGAATGATTGAATATTAAATGTTTACATGTTTTAGAAACAATTCCATTGATCTCCTTACTATTATGAAATATTTATATTTTATTTCCAATTAATTTGATGGTTTTACAGGTATTTACAATTCCAATTTAATTGTAATTAATTGTATTTCATTCAATTATTTGTTAATTGTTCTATTGCATATTTGTCATGCTTGTGGATAGCAATTCTTCTGAAATCAAAAGGGAAATCATTGATATAAATTTACACGCCATGTTTGTTTTCAGAACATGATCAGAAATTGTGTAATAAGCACAGAAAAATGATTATTGGTGATAAATTATAAACCGTTGTATATCAGTGTCATATCAGCTCTTTTGGAAAAACTTGTTTACATATATGCCTATATATTATCTTTGAGGATAAAGGTGCTTACACAAGCATATATCCATCAATCAGTCGTCTATGCCGGAGATATTCAATTCTTCAATAGTTATGGACATTCTGTTTAGTATTACTAAATAGTGAATGGATGTTTGCTCACTTTTGCATTAGTATTTATTGTTCCTTTTGATCTTGGCCTATGCGCAGGTCACTTAAAAGACAGAAAATCTACATTTTCCACTGGAACTTGGTTAATGAGAGTCCAAAATTTTATATCAGTTCTGAAGAACTTTTAAAAAAAATATATGGTGTAACGATCTAGTTTGAGCAAAGCCTAAAAAGTAACAAGTGTATAAACCTTTTAAAATTATAATGCATTGATAGTTAAGATATAATGCACTTGAAATATTATTTGCTCATTTTCCGTCCATTTAGTTTGTGTAATTGTTTTTATGTCCACAGTCCAGCAGTGCTTTGACAAATAAATGTTGTTATGCAGAATTTTTCTTTTTAATATGTTGCTGTGCTCATTGAATACAAGTGGGCACATTTCATTTCATCTTAATGTATAGGGGCCTTAAGCCATATCACAGGACTAAATGAAACTGAATGCATAACAATTGAGACCAAGCATGGCTATCAGTATATTTTCAGGCATTGGTCCAAATCAGGCATTGATGAAAGGATTCCTTTCCGATTTATATATTCTCTGCATCTTTCCAAATTTGGGCCCCTTTGTGTATGAATGAATTGGACAGAGTTGTCAAATTTTTCACTTTCACTCAATGGAAAATATCAGCTATCACTTTTCAGGCTAAAAATCTGACTTCAAAGTTGTCTACAATTAAAATAAGACATAGCCAAGGTTTGTCACTTTAGTAGATAATATTTTTTTTGTGGTGAATTTCTAAGCTGCCATTTGACAACACAATCCCCTATTATTAATGGGTATTAACAAAGTATAGAAGACAAGTGAGATCATGTCTTTTGCCTTTTCTTTTTACCTTTGTTGCTATCTTATCAAACAATGGAAAGAATCATTAATGAAGGGAGAATTATAACTAATTTATCACTCTAATTAATGTGTAAGATATAATTATGGTCAATAGGTGAACACCTGATTAGACACAAAGACTAGTTAATATAAAAGATACTTCAATGACCATTTTCTCATATTGATCAATTGATTTTACATCTGTTCTTTTCTCTGTCTAAACAACCCTATTTCCTTCTGTATAAAGAAGTGTATACAAATTGTGATGGATGAATTATGTTTTCTCTACATGAATGAATCAGTGATTTAAATGAATAAACATTTTTTGTAGAATATAATTTTATATTCCTCCATTCAAAACAGTCTCAAGAGGCCCTGTTCAGTAAATACAAACAAATAAACCATTTTGTTTTCTTCAATCTCATTAGAGAATGAATCAATATCTAACATCAATAATATTCAAAGGCTTGGTATTTACAAACATATTTATGTATTACCAGGCATAATTTAAAATGACGTAAAAGTTTTGGTGTATGAGGCATTTTCCTTTAAAGGAACAAGTACACCATTTCATTTTTAAGCTTAGCCAATCAGTAATAGTGTTCACAGTTCACCGTCGAAATTTGAGCTTTCAAATCCATGTATGTCCAGAATTATCCGCGTTAGAAAGTTAACAAGTGGTTGCCTACCAAGATACGCCCACTCCGTTCATTGAAAAATCGTCATATTTGAACTGGTCCAAGATCTCATCATTATAAATGATCATACCAAGTTTCATTTCAAACGGATGAAAACTGTAGTCTCTATTGTATTCATAAAGAAAGGTTGACACGTTTTTCATAAGTCAGGGGCAATAACTCCAAAACCGTTAGTCAAAAAATCATCAAATTCGGACTTCCAAGATCTCATTATTAATGATCTCACCAAAATGTAGTCTCTCCTATTGTGTTCACAATCTAATTCTGGACTGACAGGGACGACAATATACAACCACATTATAATGTGGGCATACTGTAGGAATTATGCAATTTACGTACATTAATTCTAGTAGAACTGCCCTTATGGGATAAGACAAAGAAAAGACCACTTGGATCCACTTTCTGGTTCTTGGCAAAACTTCTGTACCGAATGATCCAAGCCCATTTAATGGATATAACTGATAAAATTGAATATAACAACCTTTATCAATATTACTTTATTGTCAATTTCAATATGTAAAAAGATTTAGAAATACATTTTATTCCATTGAAAAGGCAACCTGAAATATTTATCAATGAATATATTAACGATAGAATTTTGAAAACATCTGAAAGTTAAAATTGTTTTTTTCTAAAAGAGGGACCCAGCAATAAATGAGTGCTTGAATATAATTTACTTGGCATTTACTAGCACTCTTTCTTAAATGAAAAAAAAAACAATCATTAACAAACAATATAGATAACAAATATTTCATTTAAATTATGTAAAGGTGCTCTCACACCATAGCAATTACCACAACACAAAAGTGTTCATTTGCAACAATACACAAGTGGTGATCACTATGGTGTGAGAGTCACTCAAAGATTTGTCATAGAGTTCAAACTACAGGAGATGTCCAGAGTAAGTTAATTATTCTGAGACATTCTGCCAGACTCAGGATCCGTATCTCCATTACATACATGATTAATTGTAGGTATAATTTACACTTGAAATGATAATTTTGGGAATTACATTATTACTTAAAGGGATTGGTACAAGGTTCTCTATATTTACCAAGGGTATTCAGGACACTGATAGCATCAATTTACACAATTCCAATTTCCAATCATATGCCTGTGGTACCTGCAATTCCACTAAAACTATGTGAAAGCATATTTTGTTTCATGATGTTATCGAATAATAGCAAATTGATGCTATCAGTGTCTCCAATACACATCAAATTTCAGAAAATCTCCTCACAATCCCTTTAATACTGATTACAGCAATGCAGCAGAGATCGACTCTGAAGGAATTTGAAATGATGAAAATTTTAGTTTTGATTACATAGTGGGAAAATCCAATTTTTCAAAAAATTATATAAAATTATTTTTCTAATCTTTTTCACCAAATTATTACTCATAAATAAAAGCTTCCACATGAAATCACATTTAAAATGTATTTAAAAGTTACGTATAACTTTATATTGTGGATTTAATAAATCAGTTCTTGATGGATATACAACTTTTAAACTCCCTTCATGATCAACGATTTTAACTTGCTCTACAACTAAATGATGATTTTTGGGAATTTTAGGCGTGGCTTCAGGCTCAGCTCCATCTTCCTCTGTTGCTTCTTCCTTAGAACTAGGTGGTTCCTCATCTTCCGAACACCCAACACCCATTTTTAACATCTCTCTTAATAGTTCGTCCATAACTTTTTTACAAGAATCCAGATTTGTCGAGCTGGTTACTTCAATTAAGATATCTGTTGTATCACTGCTAATCTAAGGACAAAAAAAATATGAAAAAAACCTGAACATGTACTGCAATAAATCAAGACAATAACTTAAGTTCCACAAACCTCAATCAACTTAATCAATATGATGCATTGTTGTCCAATTTGATCCATGATCTGGCAAAAATCTCATCTTATATTTACTCATACTGACAACCAGTGTTTCTGTCATAAAGTCCTCACCAGGACAGTGGTGTGGAAGAGTTTTACTAACCTTTGTTTTGTCACTATTTGTGATTGGTGGAAAGGAAATCACATTATCTTCAGCATCTTTTAAACATGGATACTGTACTTTATCTTTCAATAATTCTAAATATCTTGAAACAAAATTTGAATTAATGAAAAAGAGCACTAATGTATGACATGTACGACCTGTCATCTTATCGTCGAGCTATCATGAACGTCGTCTTATAGCTACCTTTCTTGTATCACTTATGCAATGATTTGACTGGATTAAGATTTACACTAGCAAATACAGCCAATCATAGCCCACGGCCACGGCAAACATCATAACTTACTGTTTACAGCCATTAATCGAGGTCTCTGATTGGCTGTATTCGTTATGTACAATCCAATCATTATCAAATTGCTGCAATTATACACTGCTGGAAGACAAGAAAGGTATAAAATGAGGTTTGTAATAGCTTGACATTGTGAAGATGGAAACCTGTAGGTGCTTAAAAAATAAAAACAAAATGAAAGTCTATTAAAATTTTTTCCAAATTGAGTTCAGAAAGATAGATCCTTTACTACATGTGCAATGAGCATTTATTCACTTACTTGTGTATTCCACTTATAGTACTTCTCTTTTTCTCTTTTCTCAAAGCTTCTGCATCTTCAAATAAGTTGGTGACCAATTTCTTAGCTGTTACTTCTTTCAATTTAAATAAAGGAGTTATCTAAAACATTCAAACAATTAATGTAATATTAAAAAGAGTATACACATGTATTTAAATTTTTTTGAAAGCAAATACTTTAAAGGGACAGATTCGCCATGCGTTTGACCAATCCAACCTTGGTCTAAGACATGGAAATAATTTTCAAGCTAAGATAATCAGTAATGGTGTTCAAATTCATGTGTGTCCTGAATTAACCGTGTTAAAATGAAGACTTGTCATTCCTTGGAACCCTGCTATATTTAGAAAATAAAAAAATTGCAAGAAAAGAAGATTTTGCTCACTTACCTTTAATAAATCAGGAAACTCTGCTGTATAAGTCAGTGGCCCCTTGATAGATTTTAATTCATGTGTTGCAATTGTTGCTACTTGTCTTTGTTCACAAATTGTGTCATGAAGTTTTGTCTGCAAAAAAATGATGAGGGTGAATCTTATATTTCAAGATATTATAATTCTAAAAACCAGTTGGAAGCTCTAAAATATAAGATTTGAATTTTGAAAAGTGACATGAAAAATTAATTACTGATAGCAAGTTATGCAAGCTTTTAAAAGTTATTCTGCTTTCTTTCTTTAAAATCTTTTGATTTAGTCAAATGTTAAACAGTACCATTTTTCTAACTTCTATTTGAACTTACTTGTAAAGTAATGAAATGTTTGAACATTGCCAAAGACTTTTTGAAATTCAATTTGCGTACAATACAACAAACTATAAATGGCCGAACAGTGATGACAGGAACTTGAACAGAAACTGTGATACCATTTTCTTCTGAGATTGGAAAATGTAAAATATTTATCATATCTTTAGTCAACTCTTCTACATCATCATCATCTACTTTAGCTTTCTTTTTTTTCTTAGGCTTTGGTTTCTTTTCTCCTTTACTCTCCAATGCACGTTTTTTCTGGAGTTCAGTAGATAGATAACTCATCATTCCCTTCATTTGACCTTGTTCAACCATTTTGGACAATCTTCTCTCAGTAATAGTATTACCTTTTCCAATAAACTCCTTTAATTTAGAACATTCACAGAGTGTAAATGGGATATCTTTTAATTTATTGTCAGCGACATCTAAGGTTGACAATCTTGCCAAATTATTTAATCCATCAGGTAGTTCAACCAGATTGTTATGGCTGGCTTTAATTTCTGTCAGATAATCATGATTCTCACACATACCATCTGGAAGATATTCTAACTGGTTGTAAGAAACATCAAATGTGGTTAAAGCTGTCAGACCCTCTATGGCAGGAAGTTTAGTTAGCTTGTTGACACTCAGATTCAATGTTCCCAAACTTAATAGAGTGTTCAATTCATCTGGAAGACATTCCAGTTCATTGTTTGATAAATCCAACAGTTTCAATTTTGTTAGCGATCCAATTGATGCAGGCAACGACTTCAATTTGTTGTTTGGTAAACATAATCTCATCAAATCTGATATTTTGCTTATGGAGTCAGAGAGCTCCACAAGACTAGTTTTACTAATCACCAGATAATTAAGATTAAGTTTAAACAATTCTTTAGGAAGACCCTCATTTTCTATTCGTTCACTGATTTCAGATCCTTGAAGAGTGAGTTCTTTTCTCTTTTCTTTCCTTGCTGTTGAAATTTCAGGCCATTGCGACGCCATCTTGAAAGCATGGACAACCTCCTCTGATCTCCAAAATCTGAAAACTGCACAAGGGGCGTAACTCTCAACAAATTTCTGTAAAGTGAAAACAGCCGGTCTAGGTTAATTTCACGGTGATTGCTAGTGTTACAGTGTCTTGTATCGACCTTATTCCCTTTATTGCACAATTACTGGAAATTGGTATTGCATAATCAATCCAATGTCAGTTGTTGCTGGTGATACTGATAGAAATTAGTGATATTGCATGATACTAAGCAACTTCTATTTCTAAATGAAAAATAGAAATGGAAAGTGTTTTTAGTCGGCCTATTGTTGAGTGGTGTCGGTTGATAATTCCACTTGATTGTGTGAAATTTTGTATCTCGTCACACCTTTTGGCTTATAAAGAGTACTATAGTCGCGTCGGGGGATCAGGGGGGCAGTAAAATTTTTCTTGGAAGGCGGAGAATGCAACTAAGTCGATTTTGGCAGTGAAAAGTAGAATAAATTTTTCATTTTTCTGTCCCGAGGGGGAACGCCACTTTACTTTTGGAGCTTTTGCGTCTCGTTTAAGTTTTAAAAAAAACCACTTATCAACAAGGTTATTAAAATGCAGTCAAATAAAATTGGAGATATTTTATAAATATTATCGCCTTCTTTTCTTTGTTTTTTTTTTTACCAGCACACGACTTACTGAAACAAAATAAATATTAATTAGCCTACTGTTTCGCTTTTAACGACACACTTTTATAATGACTTGACACATAGTCGATGCAATGACTTCATAATTACGTGACTATGATGCAAAATGTTTGGGTGTCAGTTATAATTCTATAAGCCTCTAAAAAACCTCTATTGATTATCCATTCCACACGGCTCTTTAGAAAACAAATTTTGATCAGCTCAAAAAGGTCCATTTAATCCCAACTCATAACCCTGGGGTCTCGGTGACCTAGTGGTTTTAGCGCTTGCTCGTCAACTTTAAGGCCGTGGGTTCGAATCCCAGTTGAAGCTTTTAAAATACTTTTTTTTTTGTAGAGTCAAACACTGTCTTTTCTATCATTTTAAGTATACCGATGGATCAGGCGCCATGGGAAATAACTATCCAATGTTTACGTTTAGCCAATTTACAGATGGGTTCCCTTATTTCCATTTATGAAAATGAAAATGCTAGGCCTAATACTTAGGCTATATGATTAGAAAATGTAGGTGTTCTTATGACTTGGAAAAATACCAGTTTGTCTCATGTTCATAATTAATTAATAATTAGCTAAATTAGAAGAGAATTGCATGCAGAATTCCAATGAGTGACCAATCAAGAAAGGTCAAAAAGTCTTCTTTTGTTTATCCAGACTGTAGCCTACATAGGCTTACATGGACATTAATGAAAACTTTAAAACTTATTAATTATATGCAATAAGAACATAATGACATAGATTAGAAACACCAATTAATCATTAAGCATGCTTAATTTGACAATAAAAATAAGGAAACTGAACAAGTCTGACAAATAGATAAATTGTTAAAGAATCCTATAGAAAATATGATTGCAATGCACAAGTTAACAATTCTTATTGCTTTTAAGCTGGTGCATATAATTACTTCCACATAAGGCATATTAGTTTAAATCAAGAAAAAGACGTTTTTGCTATGTTTATTTATTTTGTACCATTGGGATATTTTTTACCGACGTTATTAGCGGCTTTTTCCAATTCCGTTCAAAATATCTGCATATCTGAAAATATATGAGCAAAACAATGATGAAACAAATATGGAACGAAATGGAATAAAACAGAGTTACGTCCTACTTCTTTCTATTCGTCAATTAGGCTTATCTAACGACCATCTTATTCGGTGTCTAGTAACTTTTCCATGCACAAATATATATCAGATGAAATTATTTCTCTTCCAAATTAAATTAATCTAAATAAATAAATAAATAAATAAATAAATAAATACCTTAGGGACATACACCACACAGAATATTACAATCAGATGGGAAGTTACTAAATTTTATACAATCTGCCTGATTTTGACTAGCACACCACGGTTCTTGACCAACACTACAGTCCTCTGAAAATAAGACAAAGCTAATAAAATGTATGAAACATCTCGTTAAATACAGATATTCAAGGACGACAGTGGAAACACCTTTTATAAAAATGTAAACGTTGATTGATTTGCCTATAATATTCAATTCGTTGTTCGAATTAGTAGTGAGCACCCATGATTTACAGATGTATCTAGCTTTGATATCGGTTGGTTCATATGAAAAATAAGCAGCAAATCTTGGTTGAAACTCATCTTAATATCCTTGAGAATAACAAAGAGAGGAATGGCCAGCACTAATGGATTCTAATAGTTTCAAGAACTATGACAGTGCAAAACATTTGAAATTGATGAAAATAATATGGAAAGCAAAACTTTGCTTCTAGGTGCTATAATCCTTTGATCTCAACGTAATGGCTCAGGTCGACCTTAGGTTATAGCATCTTAGAGCATAATGTACTTTCAACGACTGCTAGCCATTCGCATGGATTAAACGCTGTCCATTATTAGTTGTCCTGTGTACATGGACGACTGAAAGCAGGAGATACCATCAATTGCTCATATTCTTTCGAGCATTATTGATTATTATCGTCCATTTGAGCGGTCGAATTCTTGCACCTTCCATTATTGATCAATTTCTGAATAAAAGCGTTTATAAAATGTCGAATGCAACGGATACGGTGAGATGAGCCCACCCTAGGTCAGAGGAAATGATGAAACAATCTTTAGAACACAGAGAGAATTTAAGGAATTGGGTCAGAGAAAACTTACTTTCAGCACAAGTAGAACCAGTAAAAGGAATATCACAGGCGCATTCACAAGTACCTATGTTCAATGTTCCGCCATTTAGACACTCTTTACCATCACATGCTAGAACCAAAAAATACAAATATCACATGGAATACATTGTACATAAATTTTGACGACCCATAAATTTCAGTAAGTAATTCACGAATATTACAATTCAAAGAGTAAATTACAAATATATTTCAGTGAGTACATTCACAAAAATAATAATTTACTGAGTAATTCACAAATGTCTAATTTCAATGATTTATTTACCAATATATTTCAGTAAGTAATTCGGAAATATAATATATCAAGGAGAAATTCAGAAATATAAAGAGTTATTCACAATATTAGATTTTAATAAGTAAGTAAAAAATGGTACATGTTAGTGAGTAATTCACATATTATATCGAGGATTATACTCTACTTACGTGGTGGACAGACACCGCACATGATGTTACAATCAGTGGGGAAGTTAGAATATTTAGGACAGTCGGCAGCAGTGTAGTATTTTTTACACCACCATTCTTCTTTTCCAGGACAGTCTTCTGCAAAAACAATGTATTGATTTTAATTGAAATTCACATAAAATAATCTTCCTTTGTCTTCAACTTTTTATCGTCAGAATGGGTCATTTTTATTACATTAGCTGACAAAATTTAATCATATGAGTTACGGATATCAATATAAACCTTGATGCATATAGATAGCTAATCACAACCCACTGTTCATGATGAATAGAAAGGAGTTATAACCATGTTATTGCCAAATGGATCAGACTTTTTGTCGTGTTGATCAAGGCTATTCCGATAGGATGAGAAGCGCAAAGTTGACCAGCTTCGAACCCATGACCACCCACATTATTCGCAACCATACGCAACAGGTAAACGCTATGGTTCCAATTCGAATGCTTTTTGTCTGTTACATGTACAAATCTATGGCCTTTGATTATTGACTACAAAGTGCTTGGGCGTGATTAGGTTTTATACCATTATTTTTTCTTGCAGCGGTCGTGAACAATAATAATGGAATTATTATAACAGTGTCGTTTTCAAGGATATTGTTCAAATAACCTTACAACTTACTTTCGGTACAGGTTGGACCAGAGTAAGGGTCTTTACAGGTACATTGACATGTGTTTTGATCCAAAGTTCCACCATTTTCACATTGTTTTCCATCACATGCTGTAAAATGAAGAGGCAAGTTGATATATACTAAGTCAATTCTTGAACCAAGGTAAATCAGAGTAAAAGCATTGTTTTCTCTCTTTTGTATGTGTTTCGTAAACGATTATGACGCTTCCATTTGCACTATTCCGATTTCTCTGAATTAGATATTGGAATTTCAATCAAATCTTATTCACATTAAATCTGATATATACATACTTGTGCATAAGTATATGTATGTTCTAACAAACTATTGTGATAGCCTGCACATCTTTTTGTGTTCATGTAGGCCTACTACTTCACAGCAACATAATCTGTCCATCTAATACACATGTACTTTTTAAACAAATTGTACATCGAAATATTTTGTAAATTTCTTTTTTGTCTCTTTTTTTCATTCATTCATTGTAAGAGCACGGGCTTTTTAGACTTAACATTGTTCTTGTGTATTGGACCTAATTCTGACGATTATATTTATTTTATTTCATTTATTATTATAATTATTATTATTATATTATTATTATTATTATTACAATTTCACGTTCTAACGACATGGTAACTATTTCTATTGGTGTTTCATATTTCAAATACTTACGATAGGGACAAACACCACACATCATATTACAGTCAATGGGAAAGTTACTGTATTTGGTGCAGTCAGCTTCAGTATAACTGCTTCTACACCAAGATTTTTCCGTGTTTGTGCATTGTACTGAAATATATATGAAAATGCATTGTGACGCCTTAATTTATTTGACCTGACAGAGACAGACAACAGTGTGCAATGAGGACAGAATTGGAATTATCGAGCTGAATATCATTATGGTCTTTAAAGAAACATATCAGGCAGTATAGAATATTTAAAAAAAAGTCTGCTCGTTCGTTATAATTTTCATGGTTTAAAATGCCCCCTCCCAAATACATCGTGGCTAATTATTTTGACTCATAACTCTAAAGTATGTCTATCAGAGGCTAATACAAATCAATGAAATTCAGATAAAAATATCACTTACGGGTTTGACATTGGTCACCAGAGTAAAGACTTGGACATGAACAAGTACACGTATTGATATCTAAAGTACCAGTATTGAAGCACAATTTACCTCCACAATCTATAATTTATAAGTGCTATATAAAACAGACATTGCTAATATATCAAATTTATGAACAAGATTATATTGAAAACTTCTAATGGAAAAAAACACTTGCACAAAAGGTAGCAGGATTTGAGCAACGTGCTGTACGTGAAGCTTTCTTTACAAATTTAACGTTGCTTCCGTTTCTGTACACTTTATTTTATAT